AAAATTGCAAACTTCGCAAGGCTATATTATCCGCATTTTACAACATTTTGCAACGAAACTTTGGAATATTACTAATTTTGTGATGCTTTTTCAAGCTGTGATGAAATTTTTGTCTAGACTTGTTTAGATCAAAATTTTGTCTATTACCCAAATGGTCAATTAAATAGCAATAAAAATAATGGCTTCTCGCGTTGTCGTCGCGGATAATGATGTTACTAGAGAGGTTAAGATTGACGTTTACGGCAGACCGGTAACCGAAAACCGCTATCTTCAAGTCGTATTTTGAGATCAACTGTAAGCTGTTCGAAGTTAGGACAATTTGTGCATTTAAATTGAAGAATGAATTGACTAAAAACTTGTCGAAACCTTCGGAAACTTGTAGAACTTACCTTCAAATGCGAATTGAAGTTTGCGGTTACCGGTCTGCCGTAAACGTCAATCTTAACCTCTCTAACTGAAGAATTAAAAACTTCTAGTGAAAACTTGAACACTAGAAAAAGTACAAATTTATTTAAGAAATGGGCAGGCAGGGCAACATTAAGAAACGTCGGCGAAGACATGGAGACATACGAGGTTCAAGAACTTGACAAGTTCACAATTAACTTACGAATAAATTTTGCCCTCTATGATTAACAAGTAATCGCATAGTTCCTCGTAAAATTAAGGTTTAATTTCACTTGTGTTTTCAAAGTTTCACAAATTGCCTTAATTTTACTCGGCCCCATGCGATTACCTATACAAATACAACTTATCGAAAAAAAAATAATAACTAGTTTCAATTCGTAGGATCTAGAGGACGTGAGTTGAAAAAATAATTTATTTTTTATACATCGTCGCGGAAATTGCTTTCTGGGGTAAATTTTGACTCAGGAAATAAAAAAAATTTCCGATGGTGGTCAAAGGGGAAAATATTCCAGGAAGCATTGAAGTTTTCAAATGATCCTACTTTCCCGGGGGCTTTAATGTCAAAAACAGAAATCAGTTCGAAAATAATCTATAAATATGTGACTGCTTTAATTGTATTTCTGTTTCAGATGGTGTCAAATTTCTTCGCATGTTCAAAACACAAAACATACTTGACTGTTTTTAATATAGTAATAGTTAAAAACATTGTAGAATTTACCTTGTATTTTCGACTTTTGCCAACAAAACCTTATTGAGCAAGTTCTTTAACCATACCAGTTAGCCCTTTTCCGTATTTTCTGTTTGGTTTTCTTTGTTTTAAATATTTTGAAAGACTTTTAGACAATCTTTTACCTTGAAACTCGGCTCTCGTCGCAGCTTCGTATGACAATAGAAAATATTGCCTCGTCAGCAGCCAATCAAATTGCGCCATTCGCTAAAACAAATGTTTGCCGTATAATAAAAACACATACTACTTCATTAACACCGAATTCGGACCATATATACTCTTTCTAGATATTACCACACAAAAATTAAATACTTGCAGATGCTAAAAATGACCGTTGCTTCAATTGCTTCATTCTATTGTTTCCAGGGTAAAAGATCTTAGCAATCGTTACAGTAGTCATCTAAAGAGACGAGTTACTAACCATGTGCCGAAAACTCGATTTTACTCCAGAAAGGTGAGCTCATAGTCTACTAAACATAAACAGAAGATAACTGTTGTATGGTGTGGTATGGTATGGTATGGTATGATGTGATGTGATGTGATGTAATATGGTATGGTGTATGGTATGGTATGATGTGATATGGTATGGTATGGTATGATATGGTATGATGTGATATGGTATGGTATGGTATGGTAATGATGTGATATGGTATGGTATGGTATGGTAATGATGTGATATGGTATGGTATGGTGTATGGTATGGTATGATATGGTATGGTATGATGTGATATGGTATGATGTGATATGGTATGGTATGGTATGATGTGGTATGGTATGATATGATGTGGTATGGTATGGTATGGTGTATGGTATGGTATGTATGGTATGGTATGGTGTATGGTATGGTGATGTGTGTATTGTGACTGAGACCTGGTTAAAAGACGTTGACACTGTTAGCATAGCCGCGCTTTCTCCCCCTGGTTACTCTTTTAAAAACCTTCCTAGACAATCTAACAGAATGGGTGGAGGCACTGGCATTATGTTTAATACCAATTTTAAAGTTACTTTAATTGACGGAGGTGAAAAACGATCTTTTGAATACTCTGAATGGAACTTGGCTTTACTCAACCGTACGATTAAAACATTAGCACTCTATCGTCCACCTTATTCACAAACTCACCCTGTTTCTTCAAGCGTTTTCTTCGAAGAATTCTCCAACTTACTTGAGAGCATTGTTATGTGCACAGAAGTATTAGTAATCTCCGGTGACTTTAATTTCCATCTCGATGATCCGTCTGATACTGACGCGAAAACATTTACTGATTTATTGGAAACTTTTGGCTTATTACAACATGTTACTGTACCAACTCACTCGTCTGGGCATACCCTGGATCTTCTAATTTCGAGATCGTCCAATGACATTAATATTCACCTAGTCAAGACTACTTTCTTTTTGTCAGATCATTGTTTTGTTGAATGCAACCTCTCTTTTCCTCGCCCGAATCTTGTGACAAAGGAAATTCAGTTTCGTAAGACAAATCATTTGAATCTTCAGGCCTTCAAAGCTGACATCACTGATTCCAAACTGTGTAATGACCCATGCTCCAATCTAGATGATTTGGTGAAACATTATGATAATACGCTATCACATATTTTGGAGAAACATGCCCCTTTACAAAGAAAGATAGTGGTTGTCAGACCAAGAGTACCATGGTTCAGTGAAGAACTTAAACGTATTAAGGCCAAACGCAGAAAACTGGAGAAAGTAATGCTACGATCAAATTGCCAAAATGATAAAGACGCTTATCGCCAAGCGCGTAACAAGTATGCTACCAGTTTGAAAAATGCTAGACATAAATACTATTCTGATCTTATCGATCAATGCTCGGGAGATTCAAGAAAACTTTTTAAGGTTGTGTCTTCACTTTGCAACACACCTCAAGAAAACTCCTTGCCTCCACATGATGATTCACGTAAACTGGCTGATGAGTTCGGAAAATATTTCTGTCGAAAGATTGAGCTAATTAGAAATGACATTGAAAACGTTGTAGTAGACCCACCATTAGTAGATTATCGTTTACCTGATATCAAATTAGACTCATTTAAGCTGCTGTCAGAAGAAGAAGTCCATAACATAATCATGAAGTCGTCGAATGCAACATGTAACCTTGATCCTATCCCAACATGGCTGCTGAAATTATGTGCCAGTGAGTTAACACCTGTCATTATGAAAATGATCAACTTGTCGTTAAGTGAAGGTCACGTCCCAGAAGCATGGAAAGTTGCCATTCTTATTCCAATTCTAAAAAAATGCGGTCTTGATCTAGTCTTTGAGAACTTCAGGCCCGTCAGTAACCTGTCTTTCGTTTCTAAAGCTACGGAAAAAGCAGTTGTTAGCCAGTTATTTGAGCATTGTGCTGATAATGCTCCTCTTCCTAACAACCAATCGTCATATCGTCAATTTCACTCTACCGAAACAGCTCTCCTAAGAGTCCACAATGATATCCTTATGAACATGGACCAACAGAAAGTAACTCTTTTTAGTGCTCTTGGATTTGAGTGCCGCTTTGACACCATTGATCATGAAATTCTGATGGATATATTGGAGTTAGAATTTGGTGTGATCGGAAATGCCTTAAAGTGGATTAAGTCGTTTCTTTCCTGTAGAAAGCAGCGTATTAATATTAAGCAAAAGTTTTCCGCCAACTTTACGTTGAACTGTGGAGTACCACAAGGAAGCTGTCTTGGACCGGTCCTTTTCCTATTATACGTGTCTCAACTGTTCCAGATTATTAACAGGCACTTACCTTCTTCCCATGGGTATGCAGATGACACTCAACTTTATTTATCTTTCCGTCCTGAGTCACCCGTTGTCCAAGACCAAGCTATTCAAACTATTAATAATTGCATCGTCGAAGTTCGTGCTTGGTTAGTTTTACATAAATTAATGTTCAATGACACTAAAACGGAATTCTTGATAATTGGAACTCGCCAGCAGCTGTCTAAGGTTACAATCGACTCGATTGAAGTTGGTGATGCTGATATAAAACCTGTACAAGAAGTCCGAAATCTAGGTTCGTGGTTTGACGAACATACGTCGATGAATGTCCATGTGGGCAAGGTTTGCAGCAAAGCATTTAGGGGCTTGTACAACATCCGACAAATAAGGAAGTTTCTCTCCATCGAATCAACTAAAACGCTCGTACATGCCTTTGTGACGTCACACTTGGACTACTGCAATTCTCTCTTGTTCGGCATTCCCCAATACCAACTTTTGCGTCTTCAACGAGTTCTCAATGCCGTTGCTAGAGTGACGTGTCTTATACCAAGATGTGCTCATATTACCCCTGTCCTGATGCACCTTCACTGGCTGCCTGTCAAGTTTCGTGTTGATTTTAAAATTGCACTTCTGGTATATAAAGCTCTCCACGGGATGGCGCCAGGCTACATTATGGAACTGTTGTTAGAAAAACCGAACTGCTGTTACCAACTGAGATCTGATGATCAGGGACTACTTTTTATCCCAAAAACTAGAGCCAAGACTCTTGGTGATCGAGCATTTGTGCATGCAGCTCCGTCAATTTGGAACATGTTACCTTCTGGTATTAGAAATAGTAAAACAATTGACTGTTTTAAATCTCAATTAAAGACTTTCCTTTTTAAGAAAGCTTTCGATTCTAACTTTTAGATTTATAGACACCTATA